GCTTCCAATAGGCTATTTCCAAATTAAGTTGCCAGCACAGGTGGCGGGAGAGATGTCAGCATATCTTTCGGGGTCTGACGCTCTTCACATAGCTACATGAAGAGTCCCCCCTGGAAGACCTGACAGAAGTGTGGGCGCTGTGCTCAGATGAGTCCTTTGGGAAGGATGCCGGGGGCCAGGCGGTCCCTCAGTGCTGTCCAGGTGGCGAGGACTACGGGCACCACTCGGGCAGTGCTGGCATTTCCCTCTGAGCTGTGGCTCCTTGGGATTGACAGACTTGGCTCCATGGAGTTCCAGGAGAACTGGGAGATGGGAGTGAAAGTTTGGAGGGGTGGGACCGCAGATTCCACTATCAGCGGCCCTTTTGCTTCAACAATGTAGTAACAGCAGGAAATAGACTGCCTGATCAAATGCACCGAAATAATTTCTATGGCTGTGGCTGGCACACGCAGACCCAGGGCTCCATCCCTGCACTGTGAAGGAGGGGGCTAAATGCATTTCTTTCCTTCTCCTCCTCCTTGTCCTCCTTCATCTCCTTCTCTTCCCTCTCATGGTGATGATGATGATGATGATCATCATCATCATCATCATTCTCCAGTGCTGGAGATGAAATACCTCAGGCATGCTGAGCAATCTATAGACTCAGGATCCTTAAAGTATTTTCAAAATTAAAATTTAAAAATACTAGTTTAGAATCTGGGAGTATATAGCTCCATGGTAGAATATCTTCCCAGCAAGCCTAAGGGCCTGGGTATTTCATTCCCAGCAATGAAAAATTAATTCATATATATATCTCACTAATTTATACATGTGACCTGGGTTTGATCTCTTAACACCAGAAATAAATAAATAAAATTTAGAAACAGAAGCACATGTATTGTCAAAAATCTGAACTCTGTGGAATTACCTAGGGGGTTTATTCAGCTCATATTCCATGAATCACTGTGGATTTAGCTATTCTAGCACCAAGTGGACCACCAACCTCACCCCTCAGACCTCAAGAACAATTTGGTTGCCAGCAGTGGTGGCACACACCTGTAAACCCAACGGTTTCAGGAGGCTGAGACAGGAGCATCTCAAGTTTGAAGCCATCTTGGGCTACATAGCAAGGCTTTTTTTTTTTTAAAAAAAGCTTGTCACTATACGCTGAGGTCCATGGGAGAGGAGGAGGGAGGAGCATGCACTGCCGTGGATTCTCGAGCCCTGGCTGGGGTGAGATGACCCCTCCTAACCAGCAGACACTCAGGGAGCTCTGTGCGTCAGCTGGTTTGTCTTTATAAAACACACCTGAGCAGGTGGAGGCCTGCTGTTTAGAAGGGAAGAAGGAAATATGGATGGCTGGAGAGCGGGAGCAGGCAGGCAGGCAGGCAGGGAAAGGCGACTGGCAGCAGGAATGCCCCAAGCACTTCAGGGGCCAGCCTCATTCTTAGCTCTTTATTTGCTTTCAAGTCACTTGATCCTCACAATTGCTCAACGAGGCAGGTAGGTGAGATTAGCTTCCAGGCCTTGCCAACAGGAAATAAAGCCACCACCCTCGTGACAGAACCTGGGCAGGAGTGGACACAAGCAAGATTGGACCCCTGCCCACCTGGGTCTAGCTGGCAAGGCCAGGGTGCCTGTCTACAGGAACATGGCCTTAGAGTGTGACCCAGGGTTGGCACAGCCTACTGCAAGGTCCTTTTCTTTGAACTGCTGTCTCTATTTCTGCTCCTCTCTGGATCCTGAACAACCCTAGGGTGTGGTCAGCTCCAAACTCAGCGCCCGCCACCATGGGACACGGAGACACTCTTACAAAGGGTGGGCCCAAGACTCTAAATCCTGACATAGGCCAGGCTGGCGACTCCCCAGCCTCATGCCGCCATTTGGGGAAAATCCACCTAACCATGTCTCTCCTCTAAGCGATCATCAGTAGTTCCCTATTGTCTTCCAAATGATGGAATCCCTCAAGTTCTCTACAATCTCCTGTAGCTGGACTGCCCAGCACCCACTGCAAACCTTCCCACCAGCCCAGGAAAGGATTCGATTCCCTGCAGGGTTCATGTCATTGCCACATCTACCCCCAAGCGCATGGCTCATCCTTACAGGAGGCTGAGCTCTGTCAACCAGTCTAGCCTGGGTGCATTTTGCTTGACTGCTCCTGGTCTGGTCCTCCCTATACCTCTACATCAGCACCTCCACACCCGATGTGGGATGGAGGGAGGCCAGTGGGCTGAGCCTCAAGACTGGCCCTCCAGATGCATCAGAGTGACCTTGAGAAGCTGGAGCCCTCTGTCTCCACACCCAAACATCCCACCAGGACACTGAACGCCAGCCTTCAGGCCTATGCATTCCATCTCATCCACCCGCACACGGCCAAAGGAAGTGTGCCCGTACTGACAGGAAAGGGCAGCAAGCTTGAAGCTGGGCACCAGTGGCTCATGCCCGTGATCATCACAGCAAGCTTGAAGCTGGGCACCAGTGGCTCATGCCCATAATCATCACAGCAACTCAAGAGGCCAAGATCTGAAGATCATCTAAAGTAGCCCAGGCAGGAAAATTTGGGAGTCTCTTGTCTCCAATTAACCACACAAAAAGCTGGAAGTAGAGCTGTGGCTCAAGTGGTAGAGCACCAGCTTTGGGCACCAAAGCTCAGGGACAGCACCCAGGCCCTGAGTTCAAGCTTCTCCTGAAGTCTCCTCCACTCTCCAAGTACCATCCAGTCCCACCTGCTGTCTGCCCTCTTACTGCCTCTCTCAGTCCCATCCTACCTGGATACCCAGGATATTTGACCAGTCCTGCCCCTGCAGGTTTTCTACTTATAGAGAATTTGGGGTGAGAAGAGCCAAGATATCTAACTCATTCCTTCTCTGTGGTTCTCCACTTCCCCACCTGTAAAATGAGGTTGGAGAGCAGCTGCTTCTAGAGTGTGCTGGGAGGATTAAAGAAAGGTACAAGTGTCAGGTGGATTTCTGCCATCTCAGTTGTAGTGGACAGACACACGCAAGGTGGCTCACACCCGTAACCCTAGCTACTCAGCAGGTGGAGAGTCACATTTCTGGTTTGAAAGGTGGGGGATTCTGGAGACTCATCAATAATTAACCAGCAAAAAGTCTGAAATGGGAGTGGAGGTGTGGCTCAAGTAGTGGAGAACTGTGCCTATAAGTGCCCAGGTATGTGCATGTTCAGGTGCGTGTGTGCGTGTGTGTGTGTGTGTGTGTGTGTGTGTGTAGCTGAATAAGAGTATAGGGGTCAGAGTTCAAAAATGAAAGAAAGCAATACTCTACATTTGAACAACCCAATTAATAAAATAAAATAAATTTTCCCAAGAGTCAGTGTTGGAGGAAATACATGGGAGACCTAAAGTTCCTTTTTTGGGAAGGGTAATGAAGAGGTGAATTCAAGTGGCTTATTTGCAAGTATAAAAATAAAACAATATGTCATGTGCCAGTGGCTCACACCTGTAATCCTAGTTCGGGAGGCTGAGATCTGAGGATCGTGGTTTGAAGCCAGCCCAGGCAGAAAAGTTCCCATAAGACTCTTCAATTAACTACTCAAAAATGGGAAGTGGAGCTGTGGCTCAAAGTGGCAGAGCGCTAGTCTTGAGCAAAAAGAGCTCATGGACAGTGCCCAGGCCCTGAGTTCAAGCTACACTACTGACAAAGAAATAAAATAAAATAAAACAATGAGACAGCACTAGTGCCTCACACATGTAATCCTAGCTCAGGAGGCTGAGACCTGAGGATTGTATTAGAAGCCAGCCTGGGCAGGAAAGTCCTCTAACCACTAAAATGGTGGAAATGGAGCCATGGCTCAATTGGTAGACAGCTCTAGCCTTGAGCACAAAAGCTCAGGGTCCAGCCCTAGGACTGACACAAACAATAAAGTAAATAAGTGAAACAATGAAACCTTTTAAAATTGTTTTGAGGAGGGTAGAGTTACAGAGTAAAAGGTTGATCAGGATACATTGTATACATGTGTGGAAATGCCACAATGAAACAACTGAGCTTAAAAAGCCAATCTTTTAAATAGATTCTAAGTTGAAAGGGTTTAAGATGAATGTGGCAATCAAGCACTCAATGTGCACTTTTATTAGATTCTGGTTTCAGAGATGGAAGAAAGGAAGAGGCAAGGAGGCTGAGCAGCCCAAGGATGTGTAAACATTTGGAGGGTAATTTGAATATGGATTGGGTATTAGGGAAAGATTTTAATTTAATTTTCCCTGGTAATAATGGTAATGTATTTATATAGAGGAACATCCTTGCTCTTAGGAGACATATAATCAATATTTAGGAGTAGGAGTCATGAAGTCTGCAAGTTAGCTTTAAACAAAGTGGTGTGTGGTGTGTGTGTGTGGGGGGGGGAGTGAGCCAAAACATTGAGAGGCTGAACCTGAGTCACATATGTGAATGCTGCACACACACGCACCACACAGATCTGAGCAACGAGAATGCAGACTCTGAAGTCCTGACTGTGGCCTGGGCCCAGCCAGACCCGTCCCCCTGTGCTCCCCTGCGCGGCCAGGTCCCCGACCCCCTCCACACCAGGCCCGCACGCCTGTGTGCGCTCCCACGCACGCGCATGCACGCGCCCTCACTGCCCCTGAGCTGGCAGAGCTGGGCGGCAGGTGCCATCACGAGGCAACGAGGCGCCTGTTTCCTGCTTTAGTGCTCCGTGTGGCGCTGCTCACGGGGTCTGGGCATGTGGGGGAGCGCTCTAGCCTCTGACTCCGCCGCCCCCGTCACTTCCCCGGGAGGAACATCTTTCTCAAGGCCCTCGTCAGAGTTTCTCGGCCGTCTAGGCCAGAACCCAGGCCCGGCTCTCTCACGACCGTCTGGGCGCCACAGAGCCCCGGAGTGGCTGAACCTCTAAACCAACCTCTGCCCATCTCTGGGAGGTGGAGGGACCTTTAAGAGGTGGGGGCTTGTGGAGGAAGTGAGGTCACGGGGGGCGTGCCCGGGGGGGGGGGGATGGAGCCGTCAGGGCCGCCCCACAGCTGTCTTCCACTTCCGCTTCCGGGCGCCATGTTGGTCCGCTCCCAGGCTGAGGCGCAGGCCCGCCACAGAGCCAAGGCCGGTCCGCGGAGCCGCGCTGGAGCCCGAGCCAAAGTAAACCTTTCTCTGGGTGCTTCCCCGCTCCTCGCTGTGCGCCTGTGCGCCGCAGCCGGGCTCTGGGCGCCGCGGGGGGCGTCGTCCTTCCGCGCTGGGTGACCGGCGGCGGGCCCCTGGCGCGGCCGGCCGCCCTCCCCTCCCGCCGCGTCCCCGGGCCCGGGCGCCTCCTCCCCTCCCGCGCCTCCCTCCCCTCCCCCTCCCTCCCTCCCCTCCCCTCCCCTCCCCCTCCCCCTCCCCCTCCCCTCCCCTCTCCCCTCTCCCCTCCCCTCCCCCCTCCCCTCCCCTCCCCTCCCTCCCTCCCCTCCCCTCCCCTCCCCTCCCCCTCCCCTCCCCTCCCCCTCCCCTCCCTCCCTCCCCTCCCCTCCCCTCCCCTCCCCTCCCCCCCCTTCCCCTCCCCTCCCCCTCCCCCTCCCCCCTCCCTCCCCCTCCCCCTCCCTCCCCTCCCCTCCCCCCCCTCCCCCTCCCCTCCCCTCCCCTCCCCCTCCCCTCCCCCTCCCCTCCCCCTCCCCTCCCCTCCCCTCCCCTCCCCTCCCCTCCCCTCCCCCTCCCCTCCCCCTCCCCCTCCCCTCCCCTCCCCTCCCCTCCCCTCCCCTCCCCTCCCCCTCCCCCTCCCCTCCCCCTCCCCTCCCCCTCCCCTCCCCCCCCTCCCCTCCCCCTCCCCTCCCCTCCCCCCTCCCCTCCCCTCCCCTCCCTCCCCCTCCCCTCCCCCTCCCCTCCCCTCCCCCCCTCCCCTCCCCTCCCCTCCCCCTCCCCTCCCCTCCCCTCCCCTCCCTCCCCCCTCCCCTCCCCCTCCCTCCCCGCTCCTCCCCTCCCCTCCCCCCCTCCCCTCCCCTCCCCTCCCCCTCCCTCCCCCTCCCCCTCCCCTCCCCTCCCCTCCCCCTCCCCTCCCCCCTCCCCCTCCCCCTCCCCTCCCCCTCCCCTCCCCTCCCCCTCCCCTCCCTCCCCCTCCCCTCCCCTCCCCTCCCCTCCCGGCCGCTCCCCCTCCCTCCCCCCTCCCCTCCCCTCCCCTCCCCTCCCTCCCCTCCCCGCTCCCCCTCCCCTCCCCCCCCTCCCCTCCCCTCCCCCTCCCCTCCCCTCCCCTCCCCCCTCCCCTCCCCTCCCCTCCCCTCCCCTCCCCTCCCCCTCCCCCTCCCCCACCCCTCCCCTCCCCCTCCCCTCCCTCCCCTCCCTCCCCCCTCCCCCTCCCCTCCCCTCCCCTCCCCTCCCCCCTCCCCCTCCCCTCCCCCTCCCCTCCCCCTCCCCTCCCCTCCCCCCCCTCCCCTCCCCTCCCCTCCCCTCCCCCTCCCCCTCCCCTCCCCTCCCCCTCCCTCCCCCTCCCCTCCCCTCCCCTCCCTCCCCTCCCCTCCCTCCCCCTTCCCCTCCCCTCCCCTCCCCTCCCCTCCCCCTCCCCTCCCCCTTCCCCTTCCCCTCCCCCACCCCTCCCCCTCCCCTCCCCTCCCCCTCCCCTCCCTCCCCCTCCCCTCCCCCTCCCCTCCCCTCCCCCTCCCCTCCCCTCCCTCCCCCTCCCCTCCCCTCCCCTCCCCTCCCCGCCCTCCCCCTCCCCCTCCCCTCCCCTCCCCTCCCTCCCTCCCCCCTCCCCCCCCACCCCCTCCCCCTCCCCTCCCCTTCCCTTCCCCTGCCCCCTCCCCCTCCCTCCCTCACCTCCCCCTCCCCCTCCTTCCCCCCCTCCCCCCCCTCCCCCCTCCCCTCCCTCCCCCTCCCCCCTCCCCTTCCCTGCCCCCTTCCCCTCCCCCCTCCCCTCCCCTCCCTCCCCTCCCCCCCACCCCTCCCCCCCTCCCCTCCCTCCCCCTCCCCCCACCCCCTCCCCCCTCCCCTCCCCTTCCCTTCCCCTGCCCCCTCCCCCCTCCCTCCCTCACCTCCCCCTCCCCCTCCTTCCCCCTCCCCCCCTCCCCCTCCCCTCCTCCCCCTCCCCCCCCTCCCCCCTTCCCTGCCCCCTTCCCCTCCCCCCCCTCCCTCCCCCCTCCCCCTCCCCTTCCCTGCCCCCTCCCCCCTCCCCCTCCTTCCCCCTCCCCCTCCCCCTCCTCTGCCCCTCCCCCCCTCCCCCTCCTGGCCGCCCCCCCTCCCCCTCCTTCCCCCTCCCCTTCCCCCTCCCCCCCTCCCCCCTCCCTCTGCCCCTCCCCCCTCCCCCCTCCTGGCCGCCCCCCTCCCCCTCCTTCCCCCCTCCCGCTTCCTCTCTCCCCCTCCCCTCCCCTCTCCTTCCCCTCCCCCCTCCTTCCCCCTCCCGCTTCCCCTCTCCCCCTCCCCCCTGCCCCTCCCCCCTCCCCTGCCCCTCCCCCTCCCCTGCTCCCTCCCCCTCCCCTGCTCCCCTCCCCCCTCCCCGTCCCCCTCCCCCCTCCCCGTCCCCCTCCCCCTGCTCCCTTCCCCTCCCCCTCCCCCTACTCCCTCCCCCCTTCCCCTCCCCCTCCCCCTGCTCCCTCCCCCCTCCCCTGCTCCCTCCCCCTTCCCCCTCCCTCCCCCTCCCTCTCCTCCCCCCTCCTTCCCCCTCCCCCCTCCCCTCCCCCCCTCCCTTCCCTCCCCTCCCCCTCCCCCTCCCCTGCTCCCCCTCCCCCCCTTCTCCCCTCCCTTCCTCTCCCCTTCCCTGCCCCCCCTCCCCTCCCCCCTCCCTTCCCCCTCCCCTCCCCCCCTCCCTTCCCCCTCCCTCCCCCCTCCCCCCTTCTCCCTCCCTCCCCCCTCCCCCTTCCCCCCCTCCCCTCCCCATTTCCCTCCCCCCCTCCTCTGCCCCTTCCCCCTCCCTCCCCTCTTCCCCCTCCCTCCCCCTTCTCCCTTCCCCTCCCCCTCCCCGTTCGCCCCGTGTGTTTCCTTGCGTGGCCTCCAGCTAGCACGTGCCCCTGCGCGTGGCTGTGTGTGGGCCCTGGGGCTCGAACTCAGGTCTTGGGCGCTGCTCTTGAGCTCTTCGCCCAAAGGCTGCCGTTCTTGCCACCTGAGCCACAGCTCCACGTGTGGTTTTTTGTTGGTGGTTAGTTGGTGGTAAGAGTCTCATGGACTCTTCAGCCTGGTTGGCTTCGAACCACGATCCTCCGATCTCAGCCTCCGGAGGAGCACCTTTGGGGTGGGGTATGACTCTGGGGAACAGTTTAACCTGTGTCCTGCAGGGTGCTTGGCAGCACCCTCTGGCTAAGAACCTTCCAAGGCTGCAGGCCCAGCCCAGTGTGGTAAAGCTCGAGTAGCGCATGTGAAACCCTGCGTTCCACCAGACCCCAGGACTGCAAGTTTCTCAGAACTTAGTCTGCTGAGCCTCCCTAAACATCATGGTATGGGTGCAGCATTTCTTGACTACAGCCAAGCTTGAGTTGTAACTACCTCCATCAAGCTGAGCAACCCTAGCTGGGCTTTCCTGCCTTGTTTTCCAGCAAACCATAAATAAATAAAACCATTAGAGTTGTTCACAGGCTTAACTATGAGGCCCCAGCTTCAGGGAAGCATCTGACTAGGTAAATGAGAAACATTCCCCCAACTACCCTCTTTTTGATCCAAACAAAAGGGATCCAGCTGCTCTCTGTAAGTCCCCAATAAGTTGCACTGGGTACAATCCTGGGCTCTCTTCTTGGCCTCAGCACTCTGTGGCAGGCAGGTAAGTCTTCATATACCAGTACTGGACTGTTCTAGAAACCATGAATCTCCTGAAAGTCTCAGTTCTCTCATCTGCCTTCAGAAAGCATTTGCACTGCCCCAGAGTGTTAAACCACATCAAGAACAGTGAAGTCTGCTTTCTGGGAGTAACCAGGTCTCCAGTTTGGGGCCTGGGTCAGAGTGCTCTCTTCCCCTCCCGTGGCTCAGGCTCACTGCACCCCAGCCACACACACCCTGGTCCAGAATATGAGGGTGAGGCTTCTCATGTACTCCTGGAAAGTGGTTCCCTGGCAACCTAGGGGCAGTTTCAGACTGAAATCCTGCTGTCACTCGGGAAGGCAGTGGGAGCTCAGGTTGCCTGTGATGGTCCGTTACCCTCACTGTGTGACAAATCACCGCAGAGGAAGAACTTGAAGCCACCATAATGTTTGTACTGTGGCCAGGAATTTGGGAGAGGCTTAGCTGGATATGTCTGGCTCAGGGTGAGATGGCCAAGGTCTTATGAAGTCACTGTCAAGATGTCAGCTGAGTCTGCTGTCATCAGAAGTCTTGATGGAGCCAGATGGCTTGTCCAGAGGGCTGGCCTGACTGTAGGCGAGCCGAGTCAGTTCTGCACCCGTGGCTGTCCCGTAGTGGTTGGCCTCCCTAGAGGAGTTACTCCCAGAGAGTAGGCGGAAGTGGCAGTGCCAGTGTGACTTAACCATAGGAGTCACACACCATCCTTGCCACAGAGACCCTAGTCACCGGGGAAGGGGTCACATGGCACCTGCAGGCACCTGCAGTGCACAGCAAAGCAGTCCACTGCAGTCTGTTTTGCCCCCATCCAGTCCTTAGGCTCCATCCATGGGAGCAGGCCTGGCTTTGGGGGTTGTTCAGAAAGCGCTGGAGCATCCAGTGGGTGCACAGAGCCACAGAAGCCGGAGAGACCCTTCATGCCGAGTTGAGGCACTGCACACAGCCTAGAGCCCCATCCGGGCTGCCAGTCATGGGGAGATCTGGGCTGGCAGCAGGAGAGGAGAGGGAGAGGTAGTTTATCAGCCCAGAAGCTCTCAGGGAGGGCTCATGAGGAGATGATTGTGATATCCAGAAGGCTTAGGCAGGGAGAGGACCGTATCAGGGCACAGAGTCAGGGCACACAGGGATCTTAGTCCCGTGAAGCATGCTCTGAGATACTCTTCCTCCCACCCACCCCTCCCTTCCCCCTTCCTGGCTTCTACCTGACATGCTGATCACATACACTGCCTTGTGCTGGGATCCAACTGTGGTTGAGAACCTAGCCCCTGACCCCATGGTGCTTCTAATGACAATGCTGAGTTTGGGACAGGGCTGATGATAGCCTTGAGACGGAGTGGTGGTGAAGGCAGCTCTAAGCCTGCTGATTGTGCACACACCACCATGCTGCAGTGGGTGCCATCATGCATTCTCTGTTGGACAAATGTGAAAACTGAGGCTTATTGCCCAAAGCAGTGGAGAGGCCAAAGCTAGGCAGAGCCAGAACCAAGCCTATTCCCAGGCCTCACCCCTGGACACCTGGAACCCAGACTGACTGAGGTAGCCCTCATCCTGGCTCTTGGGATGCAAAGGCCTCACTTCTGCACTGGCCAGAGAGCTCCCCAGCCCTGGTGGTAGGGGGAGGCGGTGTGGACTCACGTGTGGGTCAGCCTCTGTGCGCGAGCTCACCCAGTGACTGATTAGCGGGGCCTGCGAGTCTCCCGGGGAGGGATTTTCAGGGATTGCTTTGGAGCAAAGCGTCTCAATGCCTGACCTCTTTCCCTGGGAGGGGGCGGGGAGATGCCCAGCTTGGCATATGAGCAACCACTCAGCTTTGGGGTCCCACATCTTGGGACCCCACACAGCTCATCTGCATCCCAAGCCAGCAATGACTTCAGTCACTGTGGCCATGAGTTGCCAGAGGTGCCTTTGGCAGGCCTGGGCTGGCACTGAGGGCTTTCTGGGCATCCTTGACCTTGTTCTCTGAGACTCCATTGTGGGCTGTTTCTCTGTGTCACAGATGAGGAAACAAGCTGGCAAGGTGAAGACCGTCGCCTCAATGCATGTGCAATTCAGAATGTTCTTTCAGAACTCAGCTTGGATCTGCCACAGCCCTACCTCTGCGCAGTCACTATGCGGCTCCATCCACCATTGTCACTGGACAGCTGGACAGGACAGGCCAACCCGGGCCGAGAAAGGCTAAAACCGCTGGGGAGCCTGACCCTGGACAGGTTTACCTCTGGCATTCTGGTGACTCCACCAAAGGTAACCACTGCCTTGCTTTGGGTGTTTCTCATTCAAAGTGAATTTTTATTCTGTAACTACTATATCTACAAATAATGTATGCACAGGTGCCATGTGTGTTTTTCACATTGGTGCATTGTTTTCAGTGCAGGGCATGAACTCTAGGGCCCGTGCCCGTGCGGGCAAGCTCTGTGCCACTGTGCCTCCCCTTCACCTTCATGAAAGACGAATGCTGAATGCATTCATCTGGAACTTGCTTTTCTCTTTCTTCCCTGTATTCCTGAGGTTCATCTGTGCTGGTGCCATGTACTCTTCCAGAGAAAGGCGATGACTTGATTGTTCTTGTGTTTATTCTCACTTGTTCAGGTAATAGGATTGTTGTTTCCATATTAAGATGGGAAAACTGGGGTTCAGAGAGTTAAGGAGCTCATATTGGATCAGCCAGCCTCTGAGTGGTGGGAAAACTCCAGCTTATTCCCAGATGAAGCAGTTCTCTTGCTTCTTCATATTGACTGTGAACAAAAGGAGGAAGGGACTTCGTAGCCTGGCTGGTCCTGGGCCAGCTTGGTACACATGGCCGTCCAGGAATGGGGCTTTGCCATGGGGCTGGCTTGGGGGCGGGGGGTGGCCCTCAATCCCAAATCTACATACGACCTCTTTCTACACTAGGAGTAGGTTTAGGACACAGCATGTAGGTTACAGGGTAGACTCTGGTTCCATAAAACACCCCTTGCTAAGGGCTGTGAGTAGAAGATTCCTGAGCCAGGCTCAACCCCAAGCTTCAAATTCCTTGTTTTAATGTGGGGCTAATCATCTCACCAGTCCAGGACAAGCTGGGAACACTGTTCAGAGCACCTGAGATGCAATGATCTGAGAGGCTCAGTTTCAGTTTTGCCCAGCTAGATCCACCCAGATAGATCAGCGGATTGATTGATTCATTCTCCTGACATGCACTGGACATGTGTTTGGGGTCAGGTGCTAAAAAGGGCCCTGGAAATCCAGCCGGAGTAGGAGTCAGTAGCCAGAGGTGGCAGAGCACACAGCTTGCAACTACCGCAGCTGGGGCTCTCAGCACAGGCGAGCAATGTGGCCCTGGGGAATCCCGGCCCACCTGTCACTCTGCACCTCTTTTCTCTCCAATGAGATGGACTTGGTGTGGAGGGGTACCTGGATCCATGTGTGGCTATGG